CCTGAGGTCCAACTTACCATTCTGGAGTTAGATTAGTATAGTCAGCGGAAGCACACCTTCAATTTACACGCGGAACAACTTACTCCTAGTGGCTGCGGAAAACGAAGTCAAGTACATTTTTTCCATTTTCCACTTTCTTCTACGAATTTCTTTTACTACCTATCCTAGTTTCCCACCTGCAAAACCCCTATAACAACCGTTTCCGTAAGACAAAATGTTGGGACTAGGGTGCACTACTTAAACTACCTTTGCCAAACTATAGTTAAATTTATCAGGCCGTATAAAATCAGTAGAAAAAATGCACATGACTCAAGTAGTCATTTTTTGCAAGGTACCGCTTTTGTAGGCTGTGTAAACGAATTATATTTGAAAGTCGGCATGCTGGCCCGTCTGAAATATCTTAGGATTAGGCTGCTACATGATAAGGGCGTTGTGACGACCCCATTAGGATAACTCTTCATAATCTAAAACGCCATCCTTACTTTCGGCTAACATCTGATGAAATCGGAATGTATGTTCGTAAATAGATAACTGTACGCAGACTCCATCGACTGCTTCAAGTGACCTTCAGATCTGATGAAGTGAAGTTAACGATAGCCCCTCAGTAACAAGATCCATCGCTGCTGGCTCAGACAACATGCCACACAAACTAGTCCGCACAGATTTCGGGTAGAGTACGCTATACGAGGACACAAAATGATGATGGGTTTTAACTACCATCGGTCTTCCTCAAGGTCTTAACGGTTCCACCAGGGATTCGAACCCGCGACTTTCATAGCATGCACCAACGTAAAAGACATCCAGAGCACCCTAAAACCTACCCGAGTCGTCAGTATCAAAGTACATATTCCAACCGTTGTTTAGAATAGCAACCACTTCCTGTAAGGTCAGAGCTTCATGCCCCTCAAGGGCACATTTACAGAGACAGGAGATAATATGAGAACAGTTAGCAGTTAGGATCGAAATGGCTTCTTAGGACTCAAACAATAACAATTTTACCTTCTGCGTCTCTGCATTTGGTTCGCAGGAGTGGTTCACAAAACGAGCCCAGTTGCCCTTAGTGCCCGCGTCAATAAAGTGCTCCGGACCCAGGGACATGAAGTAGTGATGGGCATGTTTGGCCCTCTCGTACTGCCGAATGCGTCGACGAAATTCGGCAAAGTCGATTACTTCGCCGGCGTACTCCACAATGAAAGCGCCCCTGGAAAAAAAGAACAACAGAATATAAGGGTTTGGTAAAGGTGCTCTCTGAAGAGTTCATAAAGCACAGCTTGGAAAGAGCGTGTGTTTCCAGTAATCTTTTCTCAGACAGTATATCTGTCTCTGCTCGGGGGCATGGTCAAACCGTTCTCCATATCTTATGGCGGCCGGCTATCAGACTGGGCCACTGTTCGGTCGGGGCGACGAATTGTACTTGTACTTATTACGGCTGTGATCATGTCTGACCTAGCCGGCCTCAATAATGTTCTCGACGTTTGTCATTTTTTGTTGGAGCACAACTCGAATAACGCCGGTCATGCTTTAATCTATCTCCGATGTTCGTGCTTGCACAAACCGATTCGAGCGGCAGCCCGTCGTAGGTTCACG